ACATTAACCCTGGAAGGCGGCTGTCGGTTTTATTAAGCCCCGTGAAGTTGCGTAGACGTTTCCTTGGCTTACTCAGTAGTATAGTGCTAAGGAATGGTATAATCCCTTCTAGGACAGGGTTTTATTAAAATGCTGGAGGAGGAGATTTTTGGTTTTGTTTTCTTTTGTTTTTTTAGTTGTTTATGACATACACTGTTTTTTCTTTTTGGAAACATTTAACTCCTATCTCTAACCGACTCACATCTAGTGGCCATTAGTAAGGTTCTGGATGGTTGAATGTATAATTGGTGATAGAAACACAGTAGATTGTTAACTGGACCTACTGGGACACATAGAGATCACTCTAAACTTTAGAGTCTAAAGCATCAGTAATGTTGCTAGCCAACAAGAGGCTTTGTGGCATTTGTTATCAAGAAAGACAACATTTTCAACCTCTCCGAGTAAAGGACAACTTACAAAAAAGTAGAGTGTATGTGTGTGTGTTGATATTACATTAATAACGAGAATTATTTTCAGACTGATGTAATGGATAGTTGTAGGATAGCCAGCTATGGGACCAGTGTTTGTTATAGACCATTTTACTCTACAGCCTATGGTAATACAATTTGTCTCATTCAGACAGGCAATGCCCTAGGAAATGGTTCTGTAGAAGGTCGAGGTGCCTACAGCAACTAATCACATAGGCAGAACACAGCCATGGTCTCGCTTCTGTCTATAGGAATAGTAAGGCAAGCACTTCCAAAGAAGCAACCTTTAGGCCCTCTTCACGTCGTTGTGATGTGGTCCTGCACACATCCAAAAATAGTCACCAGCACACCAAAGCAGATTCTGTCCACTCTTCTTTATTGTCACAATGTGTAGTGACATTTCCGAAACAATTCGATCCCTTCTTCAGGCAAACAAAGTGACTCCGTTTGCCTGAAGAAGGGATCGAATCGTTTCGGAAAGCGACTGAAATGGTTTTGAAACGTTGCTACAGATTGTGACATACATACTTTTCTTTTGTCAATAAAGAAGAATTGACAGAGAATGCTTTGGTGTGCTGGTGACTATTTTTGTATTTGTATTTGATTTGCGGTGGCACCCGCAGTCATTACAGCACCCGCCCGATGTTTTGGGTTGTATCCAGTCAGGAGTGCGATGGGATTCTATGAAGTGTTACCACACACACACACGTCATTTCATTATGTTAATAAACATATTATGGCAAAACATTTCTTTTAAACATGCTGCCAATTCTGCACAATACACAACTAATCCGATTGGAACTTTATTCAATGCAGCACACCACAACACCTTTCCATTTTCAGTTAAAAGTCACTATCTGACCTCATCCATAACAAGAAGCAATAATCAGCTGAAAGGTCTTACTATAAAAATTCCAAAGCGTGGCTTAAAAAAAAAAAAAGTGCAGACCGTGCACTTATATTCAATGAAACACAGTTCACTTCATACTATGACACACCGTTCACCATGTTATGCTATATGTGGGGTTACATGAAGTGCTAAGGACAGATGGGTCAAACAAATGATACAAAAAATATTTATCTTTTCAGAACGGTAGGCGTTTGTTCTTATTTCTTTTTGTATTTCCACTTGCTGATATTTGTAGAGAACTGTCATGTTTTGATTAAAAGAGAACTGTTCTCTTTTAATGTCATAGCTCTCTTTACAGTCACGGGATGACATATACTAACCTCCTCCCATGACACAAAGCTCAGTATATAGCAGGCTATTGCTCGCCATATACCGAGAGTGCTGCAGCCGGGAAAGATCCCGGCAATGCTGTTGAGATCCACCAAGCTGGCAGATCGACAGCGGGCTCTGCCTATCTAGAGGCAGAGCCAGCTGTGCCCGCCCCTCCCCCGTCCATCCCTTCAGTCAGTGCTGGAGGATCGAAGGGGGGGGGGGGGGGGGAGAATCCCTGCGGGGAGCGGTGACTGACGGTC